TGTAATCAATTTTTAAAAACAATAGAATAGATTTCCATTAAACGAAATGACGGTGACTTTGCATTCGATTGCGTCTAATTGTCCGTACTTACCGCCAACTTTATGTTGATGAAATTTAATAAAGAGAAACTTTTCCAGCTTTGAATGGTATTTACCCAATTTAAAGTGTATTTATATAAAATGTTGTTCCATAAATTTATCGAAACGTTTTTATTGAAAGCGATCTTAAAGTTCCTCAGATAATTTATTACACTGGCCAGTTTTTTTATTTTTAAGTCGAACGACTAGTTAGACTAAGCTTATGTCTGGATATTTTGATTTTCGACTTGAAAGAAGCTATTTTCGACCTCCAATTCTACAGAAGATAGGTTTGGCTAAATTACTTTGACGACCATTCCGAGTGTGATGCAATATTTAAAAAAAAAAAAAAGGTTTTAGGAAAAAAAAATCCTCTTATATAATATTTGTCGATAGAAATATTTGCATTGAATTATAATATTTTATCAAATTTAAAAGTCATGTCTTAAACATCCTCCGACATATGGATCACAATGAAAAGTGTTTCCTTATAGACAAAAGGAAAACTAACATGTTCTTTGGCAAGAAAGATTTACTAATTTGGAGTAGACGCTTTAAACTGCATTAGTAGTAGTAGACTGATTACAATTACCGTTTTCAAGCAACTTTGTTTCGGTTTCGCAGGTGTCGCTTCGTTTTTGAGATATTATTTTGAAAATTTTTATTCAGTTATTCGTCTCGTCTGTAACGACCAATCGGGATATTTTAAATGGACTTGAAAAGTTCACGAAAATTTTCGTGGTTTACGTTTTTTGCTATGTCCTTGTTTTTGTCGTTCACGTAGCCATTAAAACTGACTGGATAGGATTCTTCCAACATCTTTGGGTGTTTTTGACATGAACAAATTCTTTGTAGGGATGCCAAAAAAACGGATTTTTTTCTTTCCTTAGAACACACACACAACAGAATATTTTAAAGAAATTTTTAAACTGGATTTGGACAAAATTTAGATACGTTTTACATCCAAGAAAATAGGAAACGGACAAACCAGATTTACAATCTTTTATGTTATGCGCTTAGCTCTCCAGCAAAGTGACGGAAAATCATACTTTTATAGAAATAATATATATTAGAAAATCGGTAAAGTTCTCTCATTGCCTAGCATATGATCTCAATACTTTTCAAACAATAAAAATTTTCACGTAAAACAAATAAATTCAATAGCATTTCGGATACAGAAACCAAGCTAATAAAAAGTTTAACCTTTAAATAGATATCCTTATAATACTCGAAAGCAGGGAGATTTTTCTGGAAGCCGGAAGATCATTCAATATTTCGTGTCTAGATGACAAGAATAAAAGATTCATTTTGAAACGAATGCTACTTATCTTTTTCCCTCATTCAATTCAAGACGCCTTGCAGTAGTGTTTAGATTGTATACGTGCATTAACTTGCAAATTGATGATGAAACCACAGAAAAAAAAATCTCTAAAGTCTATCTGTAATCATCGAAATCATGTTGCTGATGTTCAAAAGTTTGTAAACTAGAAAAAAACGTGTCGCACTGCAGGCATTACATATCCAACTTTTATAGAAAAGCAAACAAAATAAAGCCATACATAAGAAAAAAAATAAATGAAAAAAAAAAATTTGAAGCATGCTGTATGTAACATATAAGAATCGTTGTCTGTCTTCTCGCAACATTAGAGCAGTGTTGTTGTGTAGTTGTTTGCCTAAGCTGAACAAGTTGGAAAAAAAATTTAGGCTATTTCATCACAAATGGAAAAATTTAATTAAATATTGAGCATCAAAAAGTCAAATTGAATTTCAATCATTTCATGTACTAAACAAGCTGAGAAAGGAAATAAAAAAAAAAGGACAGCATTAAGAACAACGCCGTTATATAAATGCATCAAAGTGAAATTCGTAATTGCATGTACGAAATTCTTTTGCCAAATATAAAAAAAGAAAAGGTTACACTTGAATAATTGACATCAATATGATAAGTATTGAAACATGTAGAGTTCGTTAACATAAGAAACTTCTTTTGGTTGCTTTTTTTTCTTTGTTTTGGCAATCGCATAATAGAATCAGGTAAAACTTGAAATGACTTTTTGAAAGATTTATTTACGTATCTAAGAGTAAACATGTATAGACGAATTTATTCTTTTTTCTCTTAAAAGGTTTCTAATGTTTTTGTTTACTATGAATATCCGTTATCGACATATGAGTCAGAAGTTATGTATGCTTACGCTTTCGATCGGATGAATGTATGTAAGACAAATTATTTAATCAAATAGAAAACCTTTTAAAGAAAAGTTAAAAAATTAGAAAAATTATTCCACGAACATAAACGAGAGACGACTTTAAAAAAAAAAGTGTTTATATCACATCACTTAATCACTGTCCGGTCTAACACAAGTATGACAAGACTACCCATGATTTCTAGATAGTACGAATATTGGAAGGATAGGCATGGACAGTGTTTGTGCCGCTTTGAATGCCGGTCCACTAGGCTTACTGCCGATTTGATTCTATAGTGTAGTGGTGAATCTATACTTTACTCATTCGCATATATCGCATGAAAAGATCCCTTTTATTTCATCTAAACATCACCGAACAGCACTTTAAGTCATTAATAACCAAACGCAACGTTCACTTTAAATAGGGCTTTCCGATGGTTAAATGTTCATGCAAAATAGTAAACGCACTGCCTTATAATGTCATGTCACGCAACGTCGCTTTTCGATCTTACAAAACGGTTTTGTGCATCTTTGTTATGTTTTCGGAAATGACTGTCGTACTCGGGGACCGAGAACGTTCAGCGTGATCGGTATCCATACAATCAAGCACAAATTTTTTTTCCGACAGGCAAGACTCGCTGTAACATCTTTCAAGGCAATGCTGATTTTCAATGGTTCCTTTTCACATCAAGAAGCAATGTTGCCTTGGAAACTACAACAGCAATGTCACTTAAGCAAATTTCATCCAAATGTCTTAAAAATTGCGACCTGTAGCTTGAATACAAACTTACATGGACAGATATCAGATGGACAGACGGACAAGCAGGCTTAGATCAATTCAGATTATAATTCTGAATCGATCGGTATAATAAAAGGTGAGTGTATCTTAAGTCCTTCTAGGTGTTACGTACGTCCCCACAAACTTAATATATCCCGTACTAGAAATGGTGTAAGGCATAAAAATGCGCTATTTGTGCCGACAGACACTCAATTGTCCTATTGATGCAACACTTTTATTTTAATTTATGTTAACAACTCATTAAAGTGTGGTGATTAATTAATGATTATTTTATTGATTATTAAACTTGAAGAAGAGCAAATAATGGCAGTGCAAAAAATCTTGTGAAAAAAGGATCACATTGTTAACTCATGCTCTGTTTTTGGAAACTGGCCTAGCAGACATCAAGAAAGATATAAAAAAGATAGGAAACAAAACAACATATTTAATAAATTGCGTAACACATACATAGGATATAAACACAGCTTTCTATACACATGCATGTGTTATGTTTGTTTTCTAACTAATTAATATAAGGAGTTTTGGCGTAAGTTAATATAAATGTTATTATTATTATTATTATAAATTTAGCCAGAGAATTAATTCTAAGACTAAGTCTTAAAGCACTAGCATCTAAAGCTTTCGGCTTTTAGTAAAAACTCTACCGCACTTGAGATTTGAACCCACGACCACTATATATAAATAATAAATGATATTTTTTTGTAAAGTAATAGAAAGTATTTAAATTAATAGGTGTTGCTGTAAGCGATAGGTGATATTTGGGGGTGTTGTGGCATTCCGAAGCGCTATTCCTTCTTTTTGACACGAATGTCGATAGCCGTCGCCTTTAACCGTACAAATTTTACGTTACGCGTCATAAATATAAAAAAATAAAAAAAAACATGAACCTACAGTTGAGAATTCGCGGCCTTATTAAGCCTATCTAGCAGTGGCATTATGAAATAAATAATTAAAGATCAGAGGATTTTCACTATTCATGTAACAGAAAAGGTGACAGTGCGAAGGAAATGGGAAAGAGAAAAACAGTTAGATGGTGGCCGCTACCTAGACGCTAAGCGTTATGCCTTCGCCGACTGAGCGCAGTGACCAAAGCAAACTCTATCGTATTTTAGAACGAACGCTGACCTAGTAATTGCGATTCTTATCTACTAGGCTACTTAAGCGAATGAGCCTGACATGCCTATTATATTCTGATTTGCATCGCTAACCTGTCTTTAACTTCGTCTAAAATCTTAAAATATAGTTTGTATTTTGTTGAGTGTTTTTTTGGATACGAGTAAAAATGAGGATACTTCGCCGATAGTATTATACCATTATGTATCAATTTCTATATTTGTGAAGGTGGATATTGGAGATTTTTTGGATTTAGGAGGGCAAAGTTGATATTTCTGCTTAAAGAGAGTAAAGTTCATCGGATCAAGGTTTTATGACTTGCTCCTAGCCGCCGTTGTTTCTTCGTTGTTCTCCGCTGTGATATAAATTTTATGCTTGCGGCAAAGGACTTTTAAACTGTCTTTCCTACATTAATATGTATATGCAAAAATTGATAAAAGTAAACACAAATCAGCTGTTAATGGATATGTATAGGAACATTGTTGCTTTGCGTTTATCATCATCATCATCATCATCATCCCAAATCGGGTATAGAAATAAAATTCCCTGTATTTTCTTATGAGATACATAGAGAGAGAGAGAGAGAGAGATAGAGAAGAATAAAAGCTTTTTCTTTCTTTCTAAGGAAAAGTCGAAAACGAAATGCAGCATCCATGTAAAATGCTGCAAGGATATAAAAGGAAATCTATAGAAAACAGTTACCGAGCGACTTTGAAGTAAAACAGTTCATAAAGCGGAAAATCAAAAGCTTTAAAAATAATTAATAAATAATTTATGATGTTTTAAGAAAAATTTATGAAAAGAAAAATTAATTGTTTAGATATGCTTTCAGATATATATAACAAATGATAAAAAACTCAGATCGCAATGCTTAAGCTTTATTCAGAAAGAAACAAAAGTGATTCATGCAAGTCAAGGATAACATAAAGCAATAATAAGGCATAGCGGTCGGCATGATGTCATGTTTTATTTGCTTTAAGCAAAAATCTATGGATTTTCTTGTCACAGCTATAACAATAAATATAAGGAATCAACAAAAATAAAAGTCAATTTGATAATACAAATCAAAAATTAAAACATTGCTTCAAAGTCTATAATAACATCTGTTAACGCTTGTTGTTGCTTATAAAATAGACCGAGTTCGTGGTTAATGCAAAAAAAAAAAAAGTAAAAGTTGACGAAGAAGATGTTAATATAGGAAATAAACAAATGAATAAAAACTAAACAAAAAAATAAAATAAAAAGATAAAAATATTCAATTAAATAACATCTGGATGAATACAAATTAAGCGTAGATGAATTATAAAATGAAAAAATACAACTAAAACTTGAAAAAAAAATTATTTAAATATAGATAAATAATAAAATAAAAGGAAAATATTTTAAAATTGCTATTATAAATTAATCCAAGTTTGCTTCAATTTTTTGAAGAAGTTTATTTCGGCTTAACATTACGAAATCGAAGACAATAACAACTTCAAATATTGTTCGAATTACTCAAGGGCACCGGCAGTGCAGTGATTTCATTTGAGAAGCCATCAAAGTTTGCTTGTGTGAGTTTGAGTCCGTCATAGCTGTCTATACACAATCACTTTTAACCCCTTTGGGGGTCGATTTTTTCTATACATTTATATGCGTGTGTGTGTGTGTGTGTATGTGTGTACGTATGTATGTATATTTATTAAGTTAGAGGGAAGCGAGAGTTTTGCTTTTTAATGTAAACCAAACGAGCTGTAACAGATTTAAAGTATATTTTGCCGGGCAACAACAACGCACATGTACATATAGTATCTTAGGCAGCCCCAAAAACAAAAACAACGAGATAAAACAACAACAACAACATAAACATTAAAAACAACAACATCCAAACAACAAAAGCAACATACAGCCATCACTACCACAAAAGACCGACCTCAGATCTGGTGTTGCGGCAGCACTCAGCGTCATCAACGGCAACAGCAACTACGGCGACATTGTCGTTGGCTGTTTGCATTCTTTCATGCTTTTTTACGATTTTACCCATAAAATTGAAATAAAATGTAAGTTCATGAGGAACTTAGTGTTTGGTATACATGAATTTCCTTTCTTTTTTTTTTTTTTGTTTTCTGTTTTCCCTTTGCTTGCATAGAGTTTTTGTTTTTTTTTTTTTTTGCGGTTTGGCATTGCAATGAGATTCAACCATGAATTTTTTGTATTTCTATGTTAGTTTGTGTCGTTGGCGTTATGTCGAGGGCTTGGTATCCTTTCTTTTTTTCTTTTTGGTCTTTTGAAAATGTCATGAGTAACACAAAGTAGTTTTTCTTTTCAACTTTATTTCACTTTTTTGTAGTTTTCATGTAGAAAAATTTTTATATATATTATCAAAAAGAAAAACTTTAAACTACTCATATTTACCGTCGACGAGAACTATGACAACATTTGTGGTTTAAAATTATGTTTTCTAGTGTTTCTCTTTTTTCTGCCTTATATCCTTGACAGTCTAGTGTGTATGATTACAAGTTTTGCAAGCGAAATAAGAAGAAAATTATATATTATATATAGAAACATTTTTTTATATATATTTTTTTTATTTTCTTTTCCCTTTCTTTTTATATTTTCAATATACGAAGTTTATCTTAACATATCTTATGCATGAAGTTTTCAAGTGGATCTTATTTTGGTGCATTTACGTTTCATCTGAATCTCTTCATACTTCTTTCTTTGCTTACACTTGTATGCGTTCACATACCCCTACAACCACACATATGAGCTTTAGTTAGGAAATGTTTTCTCAAGATATTTAATTTTCTATTTAAAATTTGTTTTTCTATATTATTATTTTTTTTTTTTTTTACTTTTTAATTATATTTCAATTGTACTTCATTAAAAGCTTCATGATTGTCTCAGGTCCTTTGATGAATTAATTGTTTATTCAAAACTTTTGACTTTTCCTTCGTTTCTTATATCCCACATCACTTATGGTACAAGGGTATATTAAGTTTGTGCGGACGTTCGCCACACCCAGAAAGATAGAAGACAGATTCATCTTTTGTTATATCTATGTCTGGCTCCGCGATCTGTTTTGGTTTCTTCTCTTCAATCTGTAGGACACAATTTTTGAGATATGTTGATGGAATTTAGTGAACCGACGCGTTATTGGACATGGTATGAATCAGATCATTTTTTCGATCATTTCCTTTATAACAACTTATTTTGAGAACTCGTTATAACTGGAGCGGTGTAAGGGATTTAAATGTTGACCATAAACCACTACAGTGCTTTCATTTATTATTTACAAATATATAAAATTAAATTTTCAGGTAAACTTTTCACATAACTTTTTATAAATATAATTCTTATTTAATTTTAATTAACAAATTTTGAATTGTTTACTTATTGCTTAACAACAACGTATGTTAAGCATATGTAATTTAAAAGAGCATATGCATCGTTGCGCCGACAAGTGTAGACGCGTGCGATGTAGGAGAACGCAAAGAGCAGAGAAAGGAAAAATTCTCGCTTCAATTTTTTATAACATCTAAAATGGATTGAGTCTAATAATAATGTTAACGTTATCTAGTCGCGAAATGGTTCTTACGTATTTGAGTAGAAAGTGAAGAAATGAACTGCATACATGAATGTTCCTCGTTTGATGAATAAACATTTTATAGAAAGTATCTAATATCTTCAAACTTTATAACCACGCGTTACGTGCATATACAGCGTGTCAGAGAGTAACAGTTTTCAAGCGTTTACCTTGAAATGCATTGCGTATTGTCTAATTCATCAGTGAATGAGTAAACTTTTATTCATTGATGTAACAGTCATTCTTAACCGTAATTAAGTAAATTTCAAGCAGACTTTTTATAATTTCAGAAATTTGTAACCGTTATAGAGCAAAATATATTTATATATTATACTATCAAAGTCATATCCAACTTTTTGCAAGTGTTTGCAGTACAAAGTCCTCACCATTTTCACATACACGATTTTTAATAATTCAAATAATCGTAGTGAAAAGATATGGAAAATTTTGTACAAAAAAAAAATGTCATTAGTTAACTTATTTTCACTGTAATAGAATCGAGTATGTCGGCTACTTATTCGTTGGACTTGGCCAGAAAAGAATTCCCGATCCAATAATTCGACCTTATTCACGAACATAGAGTTATACAATTAGTCCAATCTTTCCGCTAATTTTGCAATGATTTTTTACAGTACGATTTTTGGAGAGACTGAAAATATGCTTCTATATTTCAATGATTCAAATCTTTTCCCCTGGAGCATCTCCATAATATTTGCCAAATTCTTTTCGACAAAAGTTTAATCAAAATAACAAAAGCGTCGCCAAAAGCTTGACGCTTTCTAAAAACTACATGAATTCTTTTGACAAAGATCCTCCAATAACTTTCATTCTTCTCGCTCGAATTTTTTATATTATCTTTATAATGTTATAGTGTTACCAAAGTCTTTAGTCATCAAAAACTCGAACGCACTTGAACCCATGACCATTGAATTGTTAACGTGGATCATTAGCCTACTTGGCTACTCAAGCGGATTGTTTTTACATTAACATTCTCGTCTACTACTAAAAAATTGAATATATTTCCGATAGCTTAATTTAAAGGGTTTTTATTACTAACAGAGAGATCTTTTTTAAGACAAAAACTAAACTTTTATATTCAAATATACGCCAATGATGATTTACCAGCTAAAGGTACGTAAATGAAATAAACTAATAAAGCGACATTCAAAATGCATAGCATATTTTCGGACAAAAATATTGGAATGTTTAAATTTAGAGCTTAGCTTTTGCCTGTGTTTTCTAATTAAAAGAACTTAAATTTATTTTATTGCTTTAACTTAATCTTAATATGTGGTTGAAGTCAACAACAGATATTGGGGAATCAACAAAATATGTATATAAATGTTTGACTCGCTAGAAATTTCGAAACGATTAAGAAAAACCTTACCTCTTTTGTTAAGGGTAGACATAGTGCGGGGCCTAATTCGATCTGGAAGTCTAAGATAGGTAGTCAAATGAATGAAGCCAACGTCCTGGCTTGGTTTTGGGAGCTATGCTGAAGGAAGAAAGCGTGAATGCCTATAATAACGTAAGTTATATTAAAGAACGGTCGAGTTTTTGGAATTGATTGTTAAAGCTGTAAAATGTGGGGGACCATGAAAAGTCGGGGGCGGTAAATGAGACGACGGAAGATCGAATATCTTTCTCGTACATCATTATAGCTCCAATGCGATGCTCGTGTGTATAATTTTATTAAAAGTTACATTTTTTGGCAAAATGTACATAACTAAATTGTATCTAGAATTCACTCTGAGCTTTAAATGAGAGTGAATAACGCTCCCATAAATATTGCTACAGAAATGGTAAAAATTAGACAATGAAAATTTACAACGCACATGATAAGATATAGATTGGATTCCTTAGTTCAGCAATATTAACCTAAGAGCGAAATGATGATAATGCGGCAGCTCTAAGACTTCGCTAGAGATGAAAGGGAGTGAGATCACTTTCAATGCAAAGCAATCCAAGAAAATGGAGCAATTTTCATATTCGATTTTTAATAAAGTAGTCGTTAAAGATTCACTCTTAAAGTAAATAGATTTTTTTTTCTTTTGCTTTAAAAACTAATTAATATTAAATTAAAGTGGCCTGCATAATTAGCATAATTAGACAAAAGTGACGCATTTAAAAATAAAAAAAAAAAGTTTGAATTATATCACAAAGCAAAAGAAAAAATAAATAAATAAAAATAAATAAATGAAACCACTAAATAATTCCCCATATATTTAAATAAACGCAACTTTGCGGTTAGAAAAGTACGGAAGGAAATGAAATTGCGCAGAGCATATGGTTGGTTAAGTGAAAAGAAAATGTGGAATGTTTTTAAAATATTTCAATTTATATGAAAATGTTTTTATAATAATATTTTATTTACAAAAGAAGAAAAAAAAAAAATGATAAATAAATAATAGCGAAACCAAAGTACAGACACGCTATTTATCATTGAACAATCCAATGCAATGCAATGCAATTTGGGGCGTTTCGTCCTCGTTTTTTTTTTTTTTTTTTTTTTTTTTTTTTTTTTTTTTTTTTTTTTTTGGTTTTTCAACATGAAAGCTGCAAGCAAACCAATCTAAAACTCACGGTTTTATATAAAATTTGTTGAAATAATTTGCGTACAACGTCCTATACAAACATTTATACGGATGCGGGCGTGTGTATGTGTGAACTTAAATATTTAATGTGTAAATAATTGCACAAAATTACAAATGCTCGTTCACATGACATTGAATAAATGTATGTAGTTTGGTGTTATGGTGTGATATGCTCGCACATTCGGGAATGAGACGGGTGAGGCCAAAACTGAAACCCCAACGAAAACCATAGAATTTAATGAATGATTGTGGCCGAGTTACAGTGAAAGCACATATAAATTTATGTACGCATATATATATATATATATATATATATACATACAATGAAATCGTAATAGTTGATTTGATTTATGATTACCACAAAGAACATAAATAATTGCTATTGAATTTGCTGTTATTGTTGCATAAGTAATAACTATTGCATTTACGTATCTTGGTCCATTGTTATTCTTCTTCTTTCTCTTATTAATAAGTTATTGTCAAGCATTAAACCATCTTCACTTAAACACTTAAACAATTAATATCGGATTTTATTAAGAAAATTAATGGAAAATAAAAATATTTACCGCTTAGACAACCATTACATGCGTATCTACTCTCCTAGACATATCAAAGTCTGTTCATGTTAAGCCTCTTGCTTTTCATTTTTAATAGTCAATCAAAATCAAGGACCTTTAAATCTCTTCGCGGAAGAGGGATCAATTAGATTTCTAATTTCACGTGCAACATCTGTCTAAACTTTTCCCATATAAACAAGTTCATGATTCCATATACTTTGTATGTTTAAGTCACACCTACGACTGTGGTCTGTGCGTCTGTCAGGTGTATATTGCTCTAGGATTCCTTCACGTACTAGATTAAATTTAACAATAAACTGTCTAGTTTAGGACAACAAATAATCTTAACATAATTACAAATTTAAAGAACAAACAAGTAAACATTTTAAGATATTTTTGTGAACAACTCAGGCTAAACCCTTATTAATCGAAAATTTGGTAAAAATATTGCATTGATGAAAATCTTCTTAAGCTATGCGAGCTAAACTTGCATTGCCATCACTGCGACTGCTTTTTATACCAACCGCTGTAAGATGGGGGTGTGCCCGTTTTGTTTTTTTTTTTTTTTTCATAATTTATGTTACACTCAAAAGAAAGAAAGAAAGAGACCCTATAAAGTATATATATTTCCTGATCAGCATGAAATTCTGAATTGATTTAAACATGTCTGCCCGTCTGTGTGCCTGTGTAATATGTGTTGTTGGCACTCTTCTGGTCGCAGAAATGAAGATATCGACTACAAATTTGGTAGAAACACTGAAAGATCTTGCGTGCAGGTTGGTATTGAAAGTGGGCCAAATCGCTCAGAAGCGCGCAGCAAAGCGTTAGCTACACTCCTAAAATGAAGATATATTATCTGGCTAAAAATGGGTTCACTTTAAAATGACTATGGTAGACGTTGCGATTACTTTTCTCTTAATAATACCAGCGATACGTATATCAAATAGAAGAAGTTGGAATGCGAAAAGCATAGTGGTGGGTATGCGAGATTCGGCCCACGCCGAATATAATTTTTTTTACTTGTTTTTACTTCATTTACTTTTTTTCTTGCTTAAGCACATTTGATATTCATCGATGCATGTAAAATATTATTTGATTTTTTGTTTTAGTTTTTTTACTTACGCTATTGTGCACTTGCATTATTGATTTCACACTGTGATTATTTAATCATTGTTTGTGGTTATGGCAAAAATCCAATGCTTTTACTTAATCTAGTTTATCGTTGTCAGCTCATGTATTACGTTCTTATTTTATATGCTTTCTACACACACAAAATTGCACTCAATTGATTTTTATTATTATTTTCAAGATTGTCTTAATAAACGTTATACGAAATTTATGTATGGAAACTAAACTATGCTTATATTACATTCTCTTATTATATGCTACAACTCTTGTTGTAGAGGTTATATTAAAGCTTGAGCAGGCTTATGTAACACTGAGATAGACTCAGCTAGAGTCTAAGCTTGTCTGTTCGCTTTTCTGTAAGATGTCTGCTCGAATATATTTTTATGTTCAATCCGGTCGCAAACTGTGAGATACAAAACATTCACTTGCTTTCGACCAAGAAAGAACGTTATTGAAAATCGTTCGGAATGAACCACTTTTTCGACTACTCGACACATATATACGCATACATTTCAAAGGCTTCCATCTGCATTGATTTTGTTGTAAGACTTAACAAATAAGTTAGATTCACTATTAATATGTTAATTTATAACACTATAAATTTATTATTCTATCGCTTTAAGTATGGAGTTTGTAATCGTGTTTACATTGCTTGCACAAATATTAAGGTTTCCTTGCATTTAGTCTTTTTTGAATTCGGTCAGTAAATACATAAGTCGTTAATGCACTTACCATAATCTGATTTAACTTATTTTCCACTTTTTTTTTTGTTGTTATAGGCAATTTTAACTTCCCTTGCCTTTTATTAGTGGAATGATGGAATTAATGAAGTATTATTTATACCATCTAAGTATATTGTTATAATAATTGTAATGCAACTGTGTGACTATTAGTAGCAGTTGAGTTCTCTTTTGTGATATATAGAAATAAAAAAATAAATATCGGCAGACATCATTCTGTTTTCTGACCTCTTTGTTCTGGTGTTATCAGTATAGTTCACGACCTACTAACACGAGTCCTCGTTCTTTAATCGCCACGTACGCTGTGGATGTCTACTATACCCCTACTGATCTTCTCACTTTTATACACTTCTCCCCTTTCCCCCCACTACTTAACATCTTAACCGAACCTGCCTACATGTAAATAAAATCAACAATTATTATGGAGCAAGTTTATCTTCGTACAAGTTAATAAATGATAATTAAATTTCCATAAGTGCACGAACTGTAAAGTGCAACGACATTACATTTCCAAGTCAAAATTTTCAACAGTAGACTGTCCCAACTATTTTCCTTGTATACTTCTCCTACGGTGTATAAATTATAATTCTCTACTTCACCTATCGCATTCTTTGATGATTTGAGAATTTGACTCTTCCATACTTGCCTTGATGGCAAAATATAATACTTTATCTGCAATATGTTAAACTTTCTAAAACAATTTAAACTTTTAAACTTTATCTTAAGCTTGGCTTTCTAAAATTTCGTTAAACTCTTCCAAAATCATTTATACGGTCTACAATAGTGGCTGATTTTTAAGGAAAGTCCGTTACGAATTCGTGCAGCAATCATCTCTCTCTTTTGTTACCTTGCGGTATTTGTTGTACAAGGGTGTATTAACTTGCTCCACATGTGTGCAATATCTAGAAAGACTTCAGAGAGATCCACCTTTTATTATAGTAATCGGTCTAAGTTTGTTTGATTGTCTGTCTGTCCGTCCTACTTTCTTATTTCTATGAAATATGGTACACCGACGCGTTTTGACCCAGGAAGAACGCTATTGAGAATGCTTCGGATTGGATCACTTTCTAATATAACGCCTGGACTTCTAATATAACGCTAATAAACGTCTTTATACAAATAACTGTGCTAAGCGAGTTGGTGTGGGATGGAACGCGGCGGACTATATTGTTTTCACCTGTTTTTAGCTTATAATTGTAATGGTAACTTAATTATTAAAAATAAATAAATAAATAAATACTAAATAAAATTATTATCCTAAACTTTCAATTATCGAAACTAGTATTATTTAGTTTTCTCTTTTTGTTTTTTTTTTTTGTTTTGTATTAGTTTCAATTTAAATTTTTAGTTAATTTGCATGTCAACAGTAAATGGCCGCAAACTAACTTTATAATCCAATTGACTTAAATAAAATTTTAATACATTTTATTTAAATTAATGTTAGTTTTGTCTTGTGTTATGTTAGCTAACGGAATGCAAACAACGATAACACATCACAAAGCAAACAACTAATTAAAGCTATTAATAAAACATTAAAATACAACCATTTGTTATTTTGTAATACTTCGCTTATACCTATCTCTCTTTCCTTTCAATACTTGCAGTGTAAAAACTATAAAATGCAACAAATAGTAACGAGATTACTATGGAAAAATGAATAAATTGAGAATAGCCACAAAAACACTAATAACAAGCATTTCTGGCGGTAAATAAAATAAAAATAAAAAAGAAAATCGTATTAAATTGAAAAAAAAGGAAAATCTAAAGAGCAAAAAACACGACCGGGAAAAAAATTGTAGGTGAAAAAGAGAAAATAGAAAAAATATATTGTAATGAGTAAAACGTTAGTAACAATGGCTAAAATATGGATACTTTCAATAGCAATTGCTGTAATGGTTATTATCGAACAAACAACAGTAACAGCAACGACTACGTCAACAACGTCAGCAGTTGAAATAACGGAAACTAAAACAACATCATTATTAGCGACATCATCATCTGAGACACTGCACGACGACGAGAAATCTGATGCTATAAATAGAGCGCAAGCATTACCCGCAAAACAAGAGGAAGCAACGACTTTAAAAAGCATAGACAATGCGGAAAATCAATATAAACAAAATTTAAAATTTAATATTACAGAGACCACAACACCATTACCACCACTTTCCCCGCAGTACTCTACAGCGAAAGTAGCTGCTTTGGCATCTTCGAATAACCCAGAAACACTACACACAAGCGCAGCTACCGTCATTACGTCACAGACTTTTATTCCCTCTTCGTTGCCTTTCGTTGCAACGATTTCTAGTAATTTCGATTATCAGCGTATTGAGGAGGAGAGTAGTCATTCTGATGACGATTCGGAGAAAAAAATAGGAAATCAACATGAATATGAACAACAAACAAAAATCAAAAATGCTAAACACATAAACAAATCGTTAGAAAGTAAACCACGAGAACTAAGTGAAAAACTCAATGTGAATAAAGCAAAGCCAGCAGTAAATGGTTTTCATGGAAGGCAAGATGAAGACTTCAATAAGCATGTAACAAAAAGTATCGAACATGCTACTGCTCGTTTCCCTCTAGAGCAGAACATAGGAAGACAATTGACAACTGAACTACCTAAGGCAACGGAAGGGAATATGCATGCTATCGAAAAAGAAAGTGCAAAAAACTTCGTCACTAATAATGCCATAGTAACACCGAAAACAATACAAATCTTATATGAAACCAATGAAGAAAAAGCGGAAGAGAATCCAATGACAGTGAACGACAGGTATAGCATAAAATTAACGGAAATTGTAACTGATGCTTATAAAATACCATCCAGTGAAACACTAACCAGTGGTTTAAAGTCTTTTGCAAGCGAAAGTGCTGAACATAAGGCAATTGAAGCATTTGAGCCCTTAATACAAGATACCAATGAAAAGCTGCTCAGAGAACGTACCGTATATACGCCGAAACATGAACTTCAAGTTAAACAACCAAAGAAAAATGATATGAAAATAACAAAGCCAACAACAAACGATGACTGGCAACAGAATCTTTTACCGAATGAATTGGAGGATGTAAGAGAAGATACCAATAAAGACCAGCAGCATTATATAAATTGGAGCCCATATCTGCTGCATCCGGCTACTGCAGTCAACGATTTTACTGGGAAATTATTGGCAGAACAAGATGGCGTCATAACTGAAATTGAACAAAAATTCCGCTTAAATGAGTTTGTGGCCGATACGGCAAATGCAAAGGAGAACAGCAATGCAAACGCCATCACTACTACAGCAGGAATTTTAAAAGAGTCGACATCACCAGCTAAAAATGCAAAGGAAACTTTTACGGCAACTAAGCCCTTACAAATACCACATCAAACATTTACCGTAAATCGTGAGATACCATTTGCAACTACGACTATTACCCAAGCTTACCAGCACAATAATGGCCATGACAAAGGCCAGTTTATTGAGAAACGAGTAAAGAAAAGTTTTGATTTTCCCTTGCATCGAGCGGCCAGCGATGCTACTCATACACAGCACTTTGATTTTGCTAATACGAAATTCAGTAATGGCGATACAACCATCATCAACCATGCCGGCAACACTAATGAACCCAATTTACCGCAACATAATAATGGCGGCATACATCACGAACATAATAGCATTGCCAGCAGTGGGATTGGTGTTGGTGACGAAGTCGAGTTGGCGAAGCGACCTCAGCCGGAATTTTCTACCACAAAGTTTTACAATAGCAAAGAATTATACAATGAAATGTTACAACACAAAAGCCAGCAGAATTTAAACACCAATAACAATAAAGAAATGTACAAAACTACCGAGAAACCGAATTTGGAAGAGTCCATTAAGTCATCGTTAAGTTTAAATAGTTTTGCTGTTCTCCATTCATCGAAATTAGCAAAAATCGATAGCAAGCAAGAACAGCAATCGCAATCGGAGGATCTACATAATCCTTGGGCCTTTAAAAAAGCGCCACTCAAGACTATACAACCTATAGAAAGAAAAGAAATTATTCCCTCAGCTCGTACTGTACCCTCAAGCACTGTAAAGCCACAAAATTCTTGGCAAAAAGCCAAATTAATAATTAAATCCTTAGCAGCTTTCAAAGCTATTACCAACAACACAAACGATCAAGCTACACTTGAATCTTACGAAACATCTGTACCCAGCCTTCATGGGATTCAAAAAAACGTTCATACGACAACTATTGCAGTAACGACCGAAGCAAATAAACTCGTCTCTAAGCTAAAAACGTTAAATTTAAAAGGCTTGAAAAACTTAAATGACGATGAGACTGCATCGTTTAATATAACCGCTAAGCCGTCAGCAGTAATCACCACAATCAACGGTACTGTCAGCATCAGCTCCAAACCATATATGGAAACAAAAGCAGAGATAACTAATCCTACAAAATCGACTTCAAAGCCAATCGCTCGTCCACGCATTCTAAGCCCTCTGCAAGAAAAAATCAATTCACTTGAATGCAATATACAAATCCTGCCGCAGAATTCACATTTATGGCGTGGCAACGAAACGCATGAATTACTTTTACCCATAATGGTAAGTAACCTACAATACACATAAAAGAAGATACATGCATATCAATCTGTCTATACGTTTGTTCACGGATTAAAACCCTCCATGTTTAGTATAATATGAACATTTCATGTTCTTAGTTTTTCTGTTATTTCCCCCCCTCCCCCCTTCAGCCTATTGTCTCTGGTATTCATTCACTTTGCTTCCTATGAAATTTTTCCTACTTACGTACGTTCACGTGTTACGTTGGGGCTGCGTGTGTAACTGCATAGCATACAATTCCGTTTTCCAAGTCTTTTCTTTTTTAATTTGCTTTATATTCAATGTCTCTTCACAGGCTCGCAACCCAACCTTAACCGCCTTACATTGCAACAAAGGGACATGTTATGTTAGACATAAAGTATGCCTATATATACATATCTATATATATATATATATCTATCTATACACATGTGTATTTGCACATTTCCGTGACTCATTGTTGTTCATGTTATTTCCTTTCGTCGCACATCGTATTATTGCACAAACAAATCATTCCGTTCTTCTACCTACACGTAAACGTAAATGAATTTCCCTTCGAAGGTTGCGCGGCAAGATAAGCATTTTAATAGTTGTGTAATGTAGCAGACAATTAAATTTTCTAAGATCTTTTCAACTAGAAATTATTTCTTTAATATTTTAAAAGTTTTCGTCGCATTCTATGCGTAAAGATGTACCAAACTTTATCGAATCGTTTCTAATCTTTAGAGTAAATTTTATATGTGTTTTTATTTTGGCGAAATTGAAAAGCAAAAATGAAACCTGATTTAGATATTCTTGGTTCAAATGTACTTTTGAAAATGAAATTAGAAGTGGCCTTGAATCGCATGCAATCGAATTACAACATAATGCGAAGAATCTGAAAGGAAAGGAAAATTTCATCAACAATCTACGATTGATAGCAGAGGATACTTTGGTCTAGCTTGGGTGCTCAGTGTGCAAATGTTCTTAATTGCACATCTATTTAGTTCAATAAATATTCGGAATTTCCCTTATTATTAAAAAAAAATAAAATTTATCGACTACCTATGCCGAAAGCGTTTCTTTCTTTGGCTTCTTTTATTACTGAAGCAAAGATTCTTTGATAGAAGAACAAATTCTTTTACTACTATAGTTTACTAATCATAACAATCGTATTCTACGTGATTTGACTTCTTCCCAAAGAACGTGATTCTCATATAGAAAGTCTTATGCCAATTAAATTCATATTTAACAAGGTGCCCAGTTTGCATTCTGCTTTATATTCAAAGCTTGAATATGTAAATAAATTAATTAAGTGCCATGTGGGATACGATAATAACAATCATTGTTCAGAAAATGGATACTATTGAAAATCATTCATGAAGGAAAAATAAAAAAAAAGAGCATAAATAAGCAAAGCTGTGAAACAGCTGTGAATGTAATTGCGTAGGAATAATGGGGATGAAAACTTTCACAGTAATGAACACTCGAAATAGAAATAGGAACACAAACAATTCGTGCTGGTCACCTTTCCCAGAGAAATAACAATATAGGCAAGAACGAAGAATACATTTTCAAAGATACTTATACGCCACGTACCTAAATAAACCACAAAAATTTTCTTTCATACACCATTTGAAATGTGTTTGATCTCAATGACTTCAGGCATTTTCGTGATGCTAACAAACATCACGCGAGAAATCAAGATTTCCTTATATGAGAAATACCCATGTTAATCACCAAAAAATGTGAAATTACCTTGAAATTCATGGACCAACTTTTCTGCTTTTTACTACATTCGAGATTGAGAAGGAAAAAATACCCACGGCAGAATATAGAAAAAAAAGAAAGATGGTTGTATAAAAATATTATTTACGTGAAATTGTCGAAAATGCCAGAGACGTAAGTTGTGTGTGTTAGATGGTCACAGTTCCCCTCCCTTTTTCCTATTTTTTATACGCATCACCGAACAGTGAATTATATTCATTTTAACCCACAAGGATACACTCCATGACATACACACTTTTTTTTCCAACACCAAATTATAAATCAATTCAAGCATATTCGTGTGGCTGTCTTTCTGTCCGCCCCTAATGTCCGTTGTAACGATTGTTTGGGTCGCAAAAACGCAGGCATAGCCTGCAAATTTCCATATACAGGCTCGTATTAAAATTAGGCGCAATCGCTTAAAGGATACGTCCATAGTATAACATCACTTGAAACCAGCTCTGTTGTCAAATATAAAAAAAATGATAAAAAATATAAATAAAATATAAATAGTTTTTTGACCGTTACATATAGACCGCGTCAGGCATATCGATAAAGATCTGGGCATATATTCTTCTACTAGTTGTAGCACTTGAACAAAAATGTAAAAAATCGGCAGCGGTTAAGGCAAAAAATTAAAACTTTTCAAAAACTGCTACTAAAAAAAAAAATGCCTTTTCGAATATCCTAATATTACAATTACTGTTGTTTTCGTAAGCGATGATTTTTCACTTTTCGAACGTAGTTAAATTTAAAACCAAGAAGTCTACCGAACGAATGGCAAGCAATACATATTTCTACTTAACATAAGTAGTAAAGTTTTGCCATGCTTTCAACATGATTTTCGAGTTGATGATTTTTGATTATTTTGTGTTTGATTTTAAATTTCTTCACTTTTATATAGCTTATATTAAGTTTAACAAGAGCTTATATCTTGCAACAAAATTCGCACTTAACGTATGTTCAAAGATTTTCTGTCACTTTATGTAATGTCGTTCAATATGGCAGTTTGTAATAAATATTTTTAATTTAATTTCTATTAATCCAAGTCCCTCTTCCTAATCTTCGCGGTTCTTTAACAAAAAAATTTTCCTTAATGGATTGGATTCTCCATTCATCAAAAATCGACTTCAAGGCATTTTTTAAAAAAATATCTTGTCAAGCCGAGTGATCATATAAATCCCTTGGCAAAATCTCTTCTAAACGAATCCAATGGGATAAGAAGCTCGAAGAGGCATTGTATAATGGATGTTTCATTTAGAAGTTAATTCTTTTTTTTTTTCCTTAAATTGTGTTAATGAGTTTTCCAAATGTGTATACAAATACACACAGTGTTATATTGCTTCCATTGGCGCGCAATAACGTTTGCTATCTTTCTCATCTTGCTATAACGTTTACTTGTTAACTTTTTGAATATAGGAAAAAAAATTTAATTTCAAGATAAATCTACCGAATGACAAATATCGGAAGGAAAATAATCAGAAGGAAAGTAATCAGCAATAATGTTTTTTTCCTAACTATCATAGGCTACCTTATAATTTCATTTTCAATATATAGTTAACCAAGCGTTCGCTTACCCATAATTTTTTTTTGACTTATTCAGGATGAAATTTCCTCTTTTTTAAATGAGTTACGTTGAGATGTCTTTTAATCTGAAATATTTGCGAAAAAACATTTGAAGTTTGGAGTTAAAATTTTGAAAGAACTTTGCTATTCAATGGTCTTTGGCGTTCTATATTGAGTAACACTAAGTGGGATGGCATCAGATTGGATCGACGGAATTTAAAGATGGCTTTTCGCTGTACAACTTTATAGAGACAATTTTGTTTTTCATCAATCCTATTAAGAGCTAGATTAGTACGTAGAATTTGCTGCAATTTTGTAGCGTTACTACGAAAAAAAAAATCAAGAATGCTGGCCACGTCCGGAATAAAATTTATAATATATACAGTTAAAATTCTGCGTGTAAATGGCTTTCTCGGTACCGTTTCGGAAATTCCAAAGTCAAAGATACAACTCGTCCTAGTCGATCGCTTATTGGAAAAGTAAAAGAAAAACTAACTACAGGCGAACACAGGAGACTAAGCAGCCATGACCACAGTAACGAATTAAATATCCATGACAATTTAGTCTTAAAACATTTGCGTAAAGGTTTATATATAAGAAATTTGAAGAGATCTGAATTGTTGATGAAACATTTATTTTATCGAATTTTTATTAGCGAATCGCTGTTGAAATGCAAGGCAAACGATTCTATTTTGAAATAAAAGCTTTTGGGTATTTTTTGATGAAAATAATCTTCTATGGCATTTAATGATTGGCTTTATTTCACTTTAGCTGAACCACACTTCAAAACACTTAATGGAAATCTCACGTCTTATATTATACTCAATAGATATGTCCGCATAATTTGCAAATCTCTCCATCTTTTTTTATAATGAAATTACGAAAAATTTGAATTTTTTTTTAGATAATTTATGACCACTTCTCTGTTCAATATCTGAAGAAATCGTACAATAAATTATAAGAAACATATTTAAGGAAAATGTTTTGTGAGTAATTTATAACCAAAAAATATTTAGTCTTTTTTAGGCCAAATGAACTTCATGCATACTGATATATAAAAGTTATAAGCAAAATCATAATTCAATCCTGATAAATGGTAAGATATCCACATATTAGTTTCGAATATACTTAGACGGCACCTTGCAATGATTTAGGCCCAATACCTTTTTTCTGTACGGTATCTTGAATTCTATATGACGATGAAAATTTTTCTCGAAAAGTGTACGTCTTTTCTAGCAATTTCATGTGTTTAAGTCTCCATTCATTCTAAATATTGAAAAATTTAAAAGAGCGTTAAAATTCGCCAGCCAATATTCCGAAACTCTTCATTCAACGAACCAAATCCTTTAAGCCGCAATAAAAAAATGAAAAAATAAAATTGAAACTCAACAACTAAAAGCAAAATGCTGTGTAACCATCAGTTACCCTTGAATTTCAAAGTATTTTATGTTTATATATGTGAAGTTTTATGTAAATGCAGTTTAGCACAAAATACAAAAAAAAAAAACAAAAAAAAAATATAGTGCTTTTAATACTTGAAAAATATATATGTGTAGACAAATGCACACTTACATGCACACATGCACGCAAGGACTAACATTTGAAAAAGTCAGAATTACTTTTAACAGTAGTTTAGTGCATATTATTATTATTTTCTCCTTTAACCACACATATGAACTTATGTGAGTGAA